GTGGCCACATTCATAAAAGATAAAGAATGTCAATATCTCCAAAAGAGTTTGAGTAAACAAAATAATAATAAACGCATCATTGAATAGTGTAATGTATAGCTTTTTACTTATATTAATTAATTATCGGAGTCCATCGGTGTCAATGGGCTTCAGTAACCACTTAACACCAGACGGCTCGTGAGCTAGTCCACTTATCTAAGCAATAAAAAATGTATAGAGTATAATCACATAATATAAGGTAAATGCACATCAGTTTATAAGGCTGTCAATATTGCAGCATAATATGTTAATTAATAATAGAAGCTCTACCGAAACTACCTTTTTTTTTTATTGCTTAGATGGGTGGACGAGCACACAGCCCACCTGGTGTTAAGTGGCTACTGGAACCCATAGACATCTACAACGTTAATGCGCCACCTACTTTGAAATATAAGTTCTAAGGTCTCAGTATAGTTAAAACGGCTGCCCCGCCCTTCAAACCGAAACGCATTACTGCTTCACGACAGAAATAGACAGGGTGATGGTACCTACCCGCGCGAACTCACAAGAGTTCCTACCACCAGTAAAAACCAGTATTTACAAGTAAAATTACAATAAACATAGTCTCGGTGATATTTAGCTCTGAATATTTTATATCAGTAATTATTAACATCAATACGTACTCAAAAAAGGCACTTATCTTTATTGGAGCAGAATATTTTATTAACATCTCCAACGAAACGATATATTCAATTTGCAATGTACATTTTCCTTTCGTAATAATTATTTACTCCGGATATTTTTACGCTTGTAATGATCTACATACACTATAATATTGTAGTATTCGTCTAATGATCGGAATTCAATTGATTGTCGGAACTATTTTGAGGCCATAGATACCACGATATGAATGCCGCCTACACAAAAGACGTTCAACTTTGACTCATGTCATTCACGATGAAAACAAAAATACTCGTATAGATAGAGAGAGAGAGAGAGAGAGTATGCTTTATTGTACACAAAAAAAAAATGCAAAACATTAAATACAAAAAAGTATAATTGGGGGTTATATCGTTAAGAGCGATCTCTTCGAGACAACCATCAGGCGGACAAGAACTACAAGGAACGCGGTTACTTATTGATTAAAAATATATATATAAACACACAGAGAACATACATATATTTATATATACATACAACATATTTATTTATAAATATATGTTGGATGCTTGGGTTTCTTGAATAAAACTACCAAAATCGATTTTGGAGCTTGTATTTTCTTTATACAGGTTTTTTCTTAATTTTTATGTTGCGAACAAGTTTGTTTGGCTCGGCGATTTTTTGAAGTGTGCAAATGGTGTAGGTAAACACAAATAAAAAATTTAACATTGCTCTTTAAAAATTCGTAAACGTTAACAATATATAAATAAAAGATATAGGTACATAGAAGTCGTCGTGGCCTAAAGGATAAGACGTCCGGTGCATTCGTGTGTAGCGATGCAACGGTGTTCGAATCCCGCAGGTGGGTACCAATTTTTCTAATGAAATACGTACTCAACAAATGTTCACGATTGACTTCCACGGTGAAGGAATAATATCGTGTAATAAAAATCAAACCCGCAAAATTATAATTTGCGTAATCACTGGTGGTAGGACCTCTTGGGAGTCCGCACGGGTAGGTACCACCACCCCGCCTATTTCCGCCGTGAAGCAGTAATGCGTTTCGGTTCGAAGGGTAGAGTAGCCGTTGTAACTATACTGAGGCCTTAGAACTTATATCTCAAGGTGGGTGGCGCATTTACGTTGTAGATGTCTATGGGCTCCAGTAACCACTTAACACCAGGTGGGATGCGAGCTCGTCCACCCAACTAAGCAATAAAAAAAAAACATATATGTGTGGATTCATTACATTATCTAGTCATCCAAGCACAAAGAGTAAGCACAGACAGTAACGTATCAATCAGTCATAATAATCTGTTTAATATCTGAAATCGTCTAAAGAGAACAAATACCCTCTCTCGGATACAAAACGATTGATGATAAAGCGTAGTATAATTTTTTTTGCGTTCGACACAGCGTAAAGCCGTCAGAGATAATTAGACAATTCATCATTGTCACGAGATGTTTTCGGTGGTCCATGTTTTTGGGTAAACGGGTCCTCACTCGACCATACTCGTGTAGTAAGCACTTTAGGCTTACATCAAACAATGACCTTTCGGTAGATATTTTTTTATTGCTTAGATGGGTGGACGAGCTCACAGTCCACCTGGTGTTAAATGGTTACTGGAGCCCATAGACATCCGCCAACGTAAATGCGCCACCCACCTTGAGATATAAGTTCTAAGGTCTCAAGTATAGTTACAACGGCTGTCCTACCCTTCAAACCGAAACGCATTACTGCTTCACGGCAGAAATAGGCAGGGTGGTGGTACCCACCCACGCGGACTCACAAGAGGTCCTACCACCAGTAAAAATCCCACATAAGGTGCTAAAGCGTATTTAGGAACCTTTTTATACTATTGCTTAATACTGATTGAATGCGATTAGTAAAAAGCTAGTAAGTAGTAGCTTACTAAGATTAGTAAAAGATCTGTAAAGCTTAATTTTCACCTCACGTAGTTTTGTTACTCATAGAGTCGTCGTCTGTTAAGTTACAAAAACTTTTACAGCAATAAATGTCTAAATGTCACCAAAATTCAAATCTTAAAATCGGATCCAGCTTCGGTTGTTTTTCGAAAAGAACAGAGTCCATTTTGTCGTAAAAATACAAAGTGAAAACAATGAGCAGAAATAAAGAAGAAACAATGGTGATTTGACGATTTAAACTAATCATATTTAAGTAGTACTAGCTGACCCGGCAGACTTCGTAGTGCCTCAATCGATAAATAAAAGACCTAAGCTTTGGTATAAAATAAACTTAAAACAAACAAAGTGAATCCGACCGACAGGGCACACCTCAAAGGAAAAACAAAATTGTTATTTTTATTTGATTCCGAGAATTTTCATATTTATCTATCTTTTAAACCTTCTCTGGACTTCCACAAATAGTTCAAGACCAAAATTAGCCAAATCGGTCCAGCCGTTCTCGAGTCTTAGCGAGACTAACGAACAGTATTTAAGTAGTATTATACTACGAACGGAACGAATTTAATTAACGATAATAATTAACGAATTAAATTATACTCAAAAAAGAGAATCTACCTATATATATTAATACGTGAAGCAAAAACTTTGTATCCCTTTTTACGAAAATTGCGCGGGCGGAGGAGTATGAAATTTTCCACACTTATAGAAAATATAGAGAAGAAGTGCACAATGCTAATAATTTTTTAAAATAATGCATAAAAGATACATTAAAGCAATAAAGAAAACATTACCCACACTACATACCATGTATTTGACGCACACACGCATGCATACTATTTATTGTCAAACTTTTGTTCTTGACGTCTGTTATCAAATTGAGAATAGATTAAATATTGTTTGTCTTTGTTAATTCTGTTTATAGTGTAGTCTTGGCGAAATTTGTGATTATAGAAGTATAAAATACAATCATAATAGTGTACAAACTTACAATTCCAATTAATTATATAATAGTCGAATTTCGACTACTGCGGGACCTCTAGTACATATAGTTAGTTGATTTTTGGATCAATTTAGTGATTACAGTAGAGGTAAACGTCCTTCGCGTGATTCATAGTCCCAATTCATCACTGACATAATGTTGATCGTTTTCAAAATTATTACTAATTTAGAACGTAATGTGCGTAATAGTCAGTATTCCGACGTCCGCACTTTATACTCATTAATAGAGAATCGATCTATCGACGGTTCACGTTCTAAGGGTTAAACCGTAACAAATAACTTTCTTTACTCTTTTAATATTAAATAATAATATTACATAATATAAATACAATATAATAATATATACTAGCCTAATAATATGTCAAATTATTTGATGTCATTATTTTATCTATCATAAACAAACTAGATAGATCAATTTACCAATGTTGTGAAATGAAAAAATGAATTTAATTTTATCACTGTTTAGTCAGCAATATTGCGTGATAAAATAGTATCAAACTGAATATCGTATGCCGTTTCTCTAAATATAACGTAATATTATGTGCACTAATTGAATTATCAAAACAACTGAACAGTTTCCGCAAATAATTTTTACGTTCAGAATTTAATATCAGTGATATTAACAATTCTTGATACGTGTGTACGCCAAATATAAATGTGTGTGTGTAGATAATATGACTCACGCACACATATGTACATGTACGAACGAATTCAATAAAGAAACATACGCACGAAATTAGGCTTAATAAATTTTAGATGAAAGGGTTGTATCTTGCGACACGACTTATATCACTGAGACATACAAAGTTATATAACTGAGTCCTGCTATACATTTTTGCTTGATTAAAAACATACTTATGATAGTTTGGTACGTAGATAAATAGTTAAAATTTATGGCTTATACGAAAATTTTATTGAGTCTTTGGATATTAGCTAAACAATTTCTATGAGAGGCAATTCTGTTACATCTTTACTAAATTAATATTTCAAACATTTCATTTATTATATTTAATGTAGTCAATTATATTAAATATTCGAATACTTGTAAATAATAAGAATTTTAATAGTAACATGTAGTATTTGTAGAGCTTTACAGACACAGAGCTACGGCGTAGGCGCGCTTCTACGAGACTACACCGAAAATCCATATAAATAAAATTTACATTCAAAATAAGCTTTACGTAAATTAACACAATGTATAACGTATTCAAGTCAAACCAGAGCAATCAATTGAAAACAAAGTTGTACCAAAATCAAATGTTTATCCAACCGTCATAAATAGCCCGCTCCGGGCTCCGAATAAAAATCACGAAAATCCCATTTGCGTATTCGTATTCAACTCGCAATAATACCGAACATTAACGAACCAAAGCCTTACCCTTCGCGGGAAACAACAACCCTATTAGCATAATAGAAAAAAGAAAAAAAAGGCTCACGTATTGCGTATTCCATCGGCGTACTGTCCCAGGATTTCGTTCACGACAGAAATGTCTGTGTAAATCACGGAATTAGAACTTCAACACCGTTTTCGAAAATTGTAAATTACACGCACACGCGATCGCTACCGTTCGGAGGATTCGGGCTGCGACACGACTGCTCTACGCGACGGTCGGACGCGGAATGACGTTCAGGTGCGAACACAGACCAGGGCTGTTCGCGACTGACGATTGAAATACGGTCGGCTTAAGGCATGTACCGACGTTGTACAAGTCAGCTCGGGTATGATTTATTGGAGTGTGTGTATTGAATTATTGTACGGTAAATAGTTATATCGAAAACAAGATGCTGAACTCGCTTCCAAGATTTTTACGTGACAACGCTTAATCGTTCGATTGTATGTTTTAATTTTGAATTTGTTATATTATCGATTCTACGGCCGTCTGGTGTAGTGGTGAGTGACGTGGTCACTACACAAGCTGGTCGCGGGTTCGAATCCCGCCAAGGGAAGATATTTGTATGATAAATATAGAAATATCTTTTCCAGGGTCATGGATGTTTATTAAATATATGTATGTGTATAATAAAAATCTTACATTTATTTCCGTTATCTGGTACCTGTAATACAAGTTCTTTACGAACTTAGTACGGGACCAGTTAATGTGGCGTGATTGTTAGTAAATATTTATACTTATTTATATTTATTCCTCATCTCTACTCAGTTCTTTCCTCATTGTTGAGGTTCGTGACTCTTCTGTAGTCTTCTCACTGTTTTTCTCTACCTATTCCTATCTAAGTCTGGTGAAGATTCTTGACCTGCTTGATCGTTATGGCCTAAAACATAAGACGCCCGGTGCATTTGTAGTAACCAATGTAACGGTGTTCGAATCACGCAGGCAGGTACAAGTTTTTGTAATGTAATACGTACTTAACAAATGTTTACGATTGACTTCCTTGTTGAAAGAATAAGGTCGTGTAATAAAAATGAAACACGCAAAATTATAATTTGCGTAATTACTGGTGATAGGACGTCTTGTGAGTCCGCACGGGTAGGTACCACCACCCTGCCTATTTCTGACCTGAAACAGTAATTCGTGTCGGTTTGAAGGGTAGGGGCAGCTATTGTACTTATAAAAACTGAGACCTTTGAACTCATGTCTCAAGGTGGATGAAGGCATTTACGTTGTAGATGTCTATGAGCTCCGGTAACTACTTAACACGAGGTTGGTCATGAGTTCTTATACGCAAATAAGCACACACAAAAACAATAAAAATATAGCTACTGAGTCACCTGGTAAGACCACTGCTTTGGGCTTCTAACCTTAGTTCTTTTGCCTTCAATATTACCTGTAAAATTTCGCCTTCCAGGCTATCAGGATTCCTGCAAGCTATATGACCGAAATATAGCAGGACAAGATCTAAAGATCCTACCGATACAATCATTAAATTCATTTTGAAAAGCTCACTACATAAAAAAAATATTTAAGGTATATTTTTGTCGTAACACTCCGGGCTTAGAAAGTTCTTTTAAGTACGATTCCAATTTGTTCGAATTCCAAAAAGGTCAGCATTTGACTGACAGATAATTAAGCATTATTTTCTTTTTTTGGTTCAACGTGGATCAGAGAAGGCCGGCACATAATGAATAGCTAACACGTCATTATTTAAATTTTCATCACTGATTCGATTATTTCATTTGTACTAGAGGTCCCACGGTAGTCGAAATTCGACTATAATTAATTGGAATTGTAAGTTTGTACACTATTATGATTGTATTTTATTCTCAATTTGACAACAGACGTCAAGAACAAAAGTTTGACAATAAATAGTATGCATGCGTGTGTGCGTCAAATACATGGTATGTAGTGTGTGTAATGTTTTCTTTATTGATTCAATGTATCTTTTATGCATTATTTTAAAAAAATATTAGCATTGTGCACTTCTTCTCTATATTCTCTATAAGTGTGGAAAATTTCATACTCCTTCGTCCGCGCATTTTTCGTAAAAAGGGATACAAAGTTTTTGCTTCACGTATTAATATATAGATACATGACGTATAATATAATGTTCCTTTGACAGTGTTAGTAGTGTCCATATATAATAGTCTCTTTTTTTACTCACAATAAAACCTTTTTCATAAGTTTACACAAATGGTTTAATCGCAAAATAGTCTAATCGACTACGCTACTCTATCAATAATATCTATTGCAATCAATTACTATCTCCAAATCATTTATAGCTGGTCAAACGGATCTATTATTAAAAGCTTTCAAATTGCAATAAGTCTTATTAGTACTACATTACAATAAAAAGTAAATATGCTACGACACTTTTAAAACATTGATGTTGAAAATATTTTTGCAATTTTCGTATATTGACAAAATTTTCATTTTAAAACAATAAGAGTTAAATAAAGTAACATTTTAAAACTTTGAAAAAAATTGTTAAATCGTTAAAATCATTTTTAAGGTTTTTCTAAGGTAACAAGCGTTTTTTTTAAATATCACTATTTTACTTCCGACATTTGAAAACCTCTACAGTTTTCGTAGTCACGGATCAACTAAGATGTTTTTAGCTCACATTGAAATATTATATTAACTCGTAGCAAAAACCTTTAGTATTATACCAATAAAATAACGCAATATTAAACTGTGAAAATAATTCTAATTGTTGTTGTATATACGACTCAAAAAACAGAAAAAAAACATTAAAATAATAATATTTTATATTCAATCATTCATCAATGCTATTCATTGTTTTCATAAGATTAGAAACATTAACAAAAACTTTTTCTGGAAGATTTGATTCTGTTAGCTTGCCTTTATCGTATCTTTATTGTTAGTCTGTCTGGGTATGGAAGTAGACAGTGACCTGAGGAGAAGGAATCCTAAAAATACTTGGACTGACTCTATGTATGAGGATCTGCGAAAGAAGGGTGTGAGTGAGTAAGAGACCTGAATGGAAAAAGAAGAAGTGCTGAATTTACTCTACACAATGTGGCATAAGGACGAAAAACTATACACTGACAAGAGTGAGAAAAACTTTTAATCTGCATAAGGAGGTACGAACGTTTGTATGTTTGTCTAGTACCCGTTCTTTTACCATTCATCCGATTGTGATGAAATTTGTTACAAGTTTTTTTGAAGAAAAAAAAAGATGTACTGTCAACGCATGATAGATGGCGCGTGAATCGTAAAGAAATCGGAACTTTTCATACAACGAGACTTAGTCATAATGAAACGTCACTGCGAATCAATATGCACAAATTAAAATTGAGAAATTCTAGGAATTGCCATACAAATTGCCAAAAGATGTTTTAATTGCTCTTTCAAATTTCCATAGCAATATTTGAATTCGGTCAAAGTCAACGCTCTTTTGAAACGGCCTAACCTTTATAAAAGCACTTGATTTAGAAAACACCCTTAAGTAATCACTTAAAATTTTCAATTTTATCTTTCTATAATATAATCGTTATTGTAGGGTAACCATGAACAGATTAAATGACAAAACGTTTTTTTTTTTTCAATATCTCAATTTTTCTTGACTATCAAGGTAGGGTTTCCATTATCTAAACAGTACTAAGTGGCCAATCAGCAAGACATACGAGGTAGGCCATATCACGTATGTATAGATGATATTGCAAAAAATTTCCAAAACGAATTTTAATTTGTATGGACCCACTCTGACTAGCAGAGATTGAATTAGTACTTTGTAGATACAAAATTAAATACATTTAAAGCTTCGACTTTAGAACTCAAATTTGATTCCGGCACTCGCACCGTGAAGTCTTTCGGTAATTTTTTTTATTGCTGGTGTCACCTGGTGTTATGTGGTTACTGGAGCCCATAGACATATACAACGTAAATGCGTCACCCACCTTGAGATATCATTTCTAAGGTCCCAAGTATAGTTACAACGGCTGCCCTACCCTTCCAACCGAAACTCATTACTGCTTCACGGCACAAATACGCGGGGTGATGGTACCTACCCGTGCGGACTTACAAGAGGTCCTACCACCTGTATCCACTTTATATCCACTACCCACCTACCTGTATATAAGATGGATCATGAACTTATCCATACGCGAAAACGTAACAAACACTTAGACGATGTACCCTGCACTGGAACATACAGCATCTGTAACTAACCTAATGTAGGTAACGTAAAATTGTACCAAAGTGGCTAACTTACTCTCAGTGTATGCAACATAAAAAAAATGGAATGACTTTGCATTCAAAATATTCGGGACGCGAACATAATAAGGTAGTTAACATTTTCGACGGAAACCAAGCCGTTTAGAGCTAACTAACTAAGCCATTTTGTAGCCGTTAACAGCTCATTAGCTTTAAGCTAACAGTTAACTGAACACTCGAGTCTTACATATTTTTCCGATTAATGTGTTGAGAATGTTGCGTCTGTTTCTTATAGGTATCTTGAAGTGGCCAAGAAAATGAATAAATGCGTTTACTTTATCAAATACTCATTATATTATTATCTATATATTACTAATACGTGAAGCAAAAACTTTGTATCCCTTTTTACGAAAATTGCGCGGACGGAGGAGTATGAAATTTTCTACACTTATAGAGAATATAGAGAAGAAGTGCACAATGCTAATATTTTTTTAAAATAATGCATAAAAGATACATTAAATCAATAAAGAAAACATTACACACACTACATACCATGTATTTGACGCACACACGCATGCATACTATTTATTGTCAAACTTTTGTTCTTGACATCTGTTGTCAAATTGAGAATAGATTAAATATTGTTCGTCTTTGTTAATATTTTTTAAAGTGTAGTCTTGGCGAAATCTGTGATTATAGAAGTATAAAATACAATCGTAATAGTGTACAAACTTACAATTCCAATTAATTATAGTCGAATTTCGACTACTGCGGGACCTCTAGTTTTTAATTATTTTACAAATTAGAATTGACATGCACGTCCATCTTTTTTTTTCGTGTTATAATTTTTTTAAATTTTGACTGTTGTTGCCACATTGCGTTTCCTGAGTTGTGATTGGTTCGTGCGATATGACGTCATCATAGGCCAATCACAGCCATCAATGTATGACGCGACGTTGATTCGTTAACAGAGAATCTCGTTGATTCTTTTTTTTTCTAAGACCATCTTCACCGTAATTTAACAAAACATAATCTT